CCGGAAGCGCCGACCGGGCGCGGGGGGGCGCCGCGAACGAGCACATATAGGCGATCGGCGGGCTATAGACCCGCTGATCGCCTATATGTGTAACACCCGGTAACGGGTGTGTGCACTGATCGGGTCTTTTCTGCCCGTGCGTGCCCACTAGGGGGCGCGCGCGAGCAGAAAAAAATTGCCGTCTGGAGACGGCAACCCGCAGATGCAGCAGTGCCGTCCGTCCGTTTTTTTACTACGGGTGGACGGCAAGAGGTTAAAGGAATAGTCCACTCTTCCTAAAAAAATAAGAACTTAACACATCTTCATAAAAGACAAAATGTGCATTCGTTCTTTTTTTTTGCATAAAGCATTTTTTTTCCTATAAAGCATTGCAACCAGTCAGTGGATTGCAGGTGCAATGCTCTGCACCCTGCAGACTCTTCCTCCCATCCATGTCCATACCTCAGTACGGATTTACAGGAACATGGATGGGAGGAAGAATGAATGGATGACAAGTGCAGTGACGTCATCACATTTGTATTCCTTAGAGAGCTACTAGTTTTATGTAGTGAGTGCTGCCTTCCGTCTGCCCATCACTATCAATAACTCAATTTCTCAAGACTACATATCCCATCATGCATTGCTTCCAGCAAGCAACGATAATGTGACATTGTTCGGATGTTGAGTAGTAGTTCAGAAGGCACACTATGTGACAGTAGTGACACAAGGATGTGCATATTCACAGGGCTGAGTGAAGTTGTGTCAGTGCATTGAGAAAGGTGAGGTAACTGGTGGTAAATAAGGCCAGCTTCATGTTGGAGCAATCTGTGTTGGGAGGTGAGGTTTCCTTCACTCCTGACACAAATGAATCCACTATGAAATAGGTCTTATTTACTGGAGCATGCCAGAGGAGTTTGCCCTCCCGCCCTAACCACATTATTGCTAAACCAGAATACTGGGGTTGTCAGCATCCTTGCAACCAAGAACACTCTGCAGAGAGGTTGCTAGCATCCTAGAAACCAAAGATGCTTGCAAGTACATCATCCATGGTTTCTAGAATGCTGTCAACACATGGTTCTTGAGTGCTAGATGCTGTCAGCACATTGTCCTTTGGTTGCTAGGATGCTGTCAGCACAGCATAATTGGTTGCTAGGATGCTGCCAGCACATGGTCCTTGTTTGCTAGGATGCTGTCAGCACATTGTCTTTGGTTGCTAGGAAACTGTCAGCTGCACAGGAACCAATAAGAATGTGCAGCCTGGGGGCGGAGCATGCACTGATAATATATTGGCCAGTATGGACAGTAGACATGCGCGATTTGTTTTGTTCCGAATTGAAATTCAGACGAAATTTTGGAAATTCAGATGTATCCGAATTACAAATATAACGAATGCAAACGAATCCGATTTCCGATTCTGAAATTCGTTAGCGGTAGTCTGTTGTTGGACGAAATTTCGTCGCAGCAAAGTGACATTTGAGACAAAAATACCTTTTTTTCCCTCTTAAATTTCACTTTGCTGCAACGAACGAAACTGAAACGAAATGTCGTACAGATTACCGCTAACGAATTTAGTCCGAATCCGAATACCGAAACGAATTGACTTTCGGAGCCGAATTCCAAAAAAACTAAATGACACTAAATCCGAATCAAAACGAAACAAAACACATTTTTTGCTGGTGCACATGTCTAATGGACAGTGCCAGCCCCCAACATGCCTCCAATGCCAACAATTCAGGTACATAAATCTGTTGCCAGCACTGACATTTGTTGTGCAGAGGCAAAGCAGGATCCTAAAAAGTGCATGCAACACTCTTTATGAATTCCAGGGCGGGACCAGCTCAAGTGCTTGGTGACGCATTATTGTACGCTGCCGTGCAGTGCATTTCAATAAGAAGGATCAGGTCGGGTGCATTTTGGGGTGCGCGAAGGCGCGATGGCAACCCTTTCAAACCATACCAATGCACATGTCATGTGTGCTCCAATTACTCATTGCAAAAGGGTGAACCCAACCGCACAGATTTCTGCGGATGTCAGCGTTCCAAGTGATAGAATGTGCCGTCACTACAGCTGGGTCTGGTTGAGCAGACAGATTGTACAGTGCCCCTGCAATGATTAGGTCATATTAACCAGTGGCAGTGTGTGCTCTGCAAACAACATGAGAGATAAGATAAGACGATGGAGAAATCCAGCAGAGAACCACGCCGAACCAAGCCGCGGAAAACTCATTTCTATTGTAACATTTTCACACTTGGTGAAGTAACTTTTGTTTGCTTTAAACATCCAATCAGACTGTGGCTTGTGAAATAACCGCTACACACCCCCCACTTATCTAATTTTTATCTTTGCTTTTCCTTTCTTTCTTTTTCTCTCTTCCTGCCCAATACTCTCATACAGGGGCAGCAACTCTGGCCCCCCCAGCTGTGCTTTAACTACAAATCCTAGCATGCCTCTGCCTCTTGGAGTCATGCCTGCAACTGTCAGTTTTGCAATGCCTCATGGGACTTGTAGTTTCACAACAGCTGGAGGGTCAAAGTTGCCCGCTCCTGCCCCAATACGTGGTCATAGCCCACAGGTGTTTGGATCTATTACCTACACCCACATTATTTAAATACCCCTCTTATTTAAAGTAGACCTTCATTCAAAAATTGAAACCAAACTCCAGGAAAAATGATATTTTACACATCACGCTGGTGTGTAAATGATTATTAAAAAGCTGAGAGTTATGTGCAGTATAAAGATATTTGCAGCCCGCTGTCTCCTGCACATAACGCAGAGCTTCCAGGTGCTGCACGGAGTGAGAGATGTGCTTTGAGCAGTGAAGTCCAACGGTCACTCCACCCACCCCTCCTCATCATCCACCCCTCCTTGCTACTTGCCCATTCACAAAATGCAAAAAGAACACAAGGCCTTATGTGATTGGAGGAGAGATGATGTCACATCCAATCACTGCTCCACACAGAGATTAAAGGAGAACTATGAGGCGAGTGAAAATCACTCATCCTCATAGTTCGAGCCGACGTGTGACAATGAAAGTGTCACAGGTCGGCTCAATAGATCGGGAAGTGAGCGAACACATACAGTCGCTTGCTCACTTCTCGATCATCTCCCTGCAGTCAGTCACGGCTCCCTGCAGGGAGTCCCCCCTCTGCTCCGATCCTCCAGCACTGACTGGAGGAACGGACGGAGGAGGGGGCGGGTACAGCTGGCTCTGCATCTAGATAGGCAGAGCCAGCCGTCATTCATGCAGCAGGGTGGATCTCAACAGCATTGTCGGGATCCTTCCCAGGTGCGGCGGTCTCAGTATACCGCAAGCTATAGCTCGCGATATACTGAGCTTTCATAGTTTAGAGTTAGGACCGCACTATATAGAGGTGCCTTGGCGCGGCTTTTAACCTTAGCGGTGAGACAGGTTTTTTTGCATGCTGGCTGGTGAGTGTGCTGGGAAACTTTTTGCTGTTATACTGAGCTTTGGGTCACGTGAACACGCTAGTAAATGTCCTCCCGTGACCCTTGAGAGAACTATGGGGAAAACACCCTCCCCCCCCCAAAAAAAAAAACCCCAAACCCTAGTCTGGCAAAAACCAGGCAGCTTCTGGTCGTATGATTCTACAATTAACTTTTGGAAAGAGATTGCAGCGCTTGCACAGCTTGCAGAGCTCCAGATGGCTACTGATGTCAGCTACCATCTGGAGCTGCCTTGTCCAGCCAGTAAATATAAATATTTGTTTGCTGTTGTGTCTCAGATAATACACCCTAATTTCTATTTCAAGATAAAACCTGTTTTGTCTCTCCCTCTTATATTGCGACCTAACCACGCTGCTTACATACTGTGTCCAGCCATTGAACAATATTTGTGGCTATTGTGTCTAAGATAATACACTCTAATTTTTATTGCAAGATAAAACATAACTTGTCTTTCTAATTGCTGCCTATTCAAGTGCTTGTGTACTGTCCTGACACTAGCTAATTTCTACCAAGCACATATCTGAAGTCTATATTTTGAGAATACTGTAACTGGGAAAAGGGGGGATGGGAGGGGTTTCGGGGGAATGTGGGGGTGTCGTTTTGAACTGTTGTGCACTCTATACTATGTATACTATTAAACTAGCTTTTATATCTGTTGTGGCTTCTACTTCCACCAGTCAGTTCAGGCCTATTACTGCAGGGAAAAAAAGAGTCAGATTTTGCAGCCAAAACTACAAAAAAAAGCCTTTTTCTTGAGTTGAAATAAATCAAATTTGAGTGCTGTTGCTGTATTTAAGCCGAGCTAAATGTAAAAATAAAAAAAAAATCAATTACAACAAACATGCAAAAACGCACAGCCAAAAAAACACACAAAGCCTGCAGCTCAAATTGCTGAATGAGCTTCTTTGCTGTGTTTGTGGCACAAAGGACAACCAATTGAAATGAATGGGTTGCCCTATCTGTGACAAGTGCAGCAAAATATGCCACACGCATGTGGTGACTGTGAATCAAGGCTTATGTAGAAACATCTTTGCTCAGCCCAGATTTCATGTTTAGCTTTATCTTTCCCACCTCAACCTAACCGTTCAACCATCACGTTCTCAAACAATTCATCCCCACACAGCTACCTCCTCATGTATCACTTGACCCTCCCTTTTAGATTGTCTCAGCCTCAGGGGCAGGGCCCTCCTTACCATCTTGTCTTGAATTGTATTGTAATGTCTTCCTTATATTGTAAAGCGCTGCGCAAACTGTTGGCGCTATATAAATCCTGTATAATAATAATCTTTCAAAAGTAGCGAGAAATCTGGTCGCTGTGGACAATCCTGTCACTTTTACTCTGGTTTTTGTTTTCTCTACTTGCTATAAATCAGTCTAGAGAATGATATACGTTTTCTCCTTGACATTCCACACAAACTGGAATTTCCTATTTACAAAGCATTGCACTTTTTGGGAAAAAGCACTTCAAAACTGACAGTCGGTAGCCTTTTCCATTGAAGGAACCCAGTCATATAATACAGCTCAGTCACACAAGTTTTATAGTCGTTCAAGTTTAATTCCAATATACGTACTATGTATTTACAAAGGTAATCATGATACAATTAAAGCTTGAAAATAAACAATATTTAAAAAATACAAAATGTTCAAATATTTATAATTGCCTTCCCTATATTTTAATGTGAGCGCATTTACATATAGGACAATATTAAAAGATGAGATTATAAAAGTGCAGATCCCTTATGTTCTCACACCATAAGAACAAATACTGAGAATACATACAAGAATACATACAAATATATGTGCAGTGTAACTGTGTATTGCTAGCCACAGGCTGCTTAAATTTCGGCTGATTCCTGCTGAAATCCCAGGCAGTGGGTGGCCCTGCAAGCACCACCCGGCTCGAAAAAAGTCACTGTTCAGGTATTCTCGCAGCAGTGGGTCCAGTGGCTACTGAAATACAATAGCCGGCAGTGGAGATTTCTCCATCCATGCTGTTAGTGTGAATGGGAGAATCGATGGATTTGCAGGCTGAACAAGAGAAAAGCGAGCTGTGTATAGCGGCCTGGAAAGATTACGGCCCAATTAACAGAACTATTCAGGCGGGAATACAAGGACTGCTAATGCTGAGCTCCCTTTACAATTGATAGTTCTCTGACTGTCATGCTGATCCTCCAGCTTTATTGTTTTCAGAGTAACTGAACCAGACCAAGTACAGAGAGAAAGATAAACAGCATTTTCAGGTCAGCACTAGCAGCCATCTCTCAACACAGGAGGGCTTCACAGAACTCAAGATTTAGGTAAAAAAACAACATACATTGGCATCACGGTGCTGTAAATATGTGCAAATATATTGTAGTGAAAATGTTCAGTTCCTGCTGAGATTAGTTCTCCAGCAAAAAACCTTGATAAATCCTTCTTATTGTATGTGTCATGGCTGCACACTGGGGAGATGGAAAGAGAGTGAATGGGGGACCCCTGCACCCCAGATGACATATTTTTTTCCAGTCATGTATATGTGACTCATATCACACACCTTCTCTCCAGGTGGTCCACAAACTGTGGCCCGTGGGCCAGATGTGGCCTTTTGCTTGCCTTTAATTGGCCACGGGGCACTATTCCTCCCATTGACGCTACCAATGGGGCACAATTCCTCCCACTAATACCATCCCTGAGGCACTATTACTCAAAGTGTTACCAACAATGGGGCACTTTTCCTCCCACTGATGCCAACAATGGGGCACAATTCCTCCCACTTATACCAACCCAGGGAAAATATTACTCCAATTGGAACCAACAGTGGAGCATTATTCCTCCCACTAATACCAAACCTGAAGCGCTATTACTCAAATTGATACCAACAATGGGGCAATATTCCTCTCACTTATACCAACCCTGGGAAACTATTACTCAAATTGGTGCCAACAGTGGAGCACTATTCCTCCTACTGATGCCAATAATGGGGCACTATTCTTCCCACTAATACCACCCCAGAGGCAGTATTGCTCCAACTGATAACAACAATGGGGCACTATTCCTACCACTAATACCAACCCTGGGACACTAGTACTCCAATTGATACAAACGATGGGGCACTAATCTTCCTACTAATGCCAACCCTGGGGCACTATTACTCCAATTGATACAAATGATGGGGCACTATTGCTTCCACTGACATCTACCCTGGGACATTTTTTACCCCCACAGACCCCTGAGCCTTGGACATTGTTGACTCCCACTGACCACCAATGGTCATGACTTTGTTTAGAAATTTTGAGGACCGTTGCTCTACACAGCACTATCTTTCACTAAAGGGAAGAATCTTCACATTTGTAAGGAACCAATGGTGGCAAGGTTGCATTTCTTTTAGCATGACTTAGGGCTGACGGAGCAGTGGAGGGAAAGCTAAGTAGCCTTGGTGGATTTTTAATGTTTCTGCATCCCAGGGACTGTTATAGCCATAGGGACACCATCATTAGTAAGATATGCACACAGATGGAGTTGTTATTTTTCTATTATCAGTTTAGATACATACACACTGCTACCCAGACCTCCAGCTTAACTTACATATATCATGAGTGAGCTATGGGACTACTATTGTTAACCACCTTCTAAAAATGCTGGTAGACTGGTTGCACCTTGTTCCTGCTCTTCTGAGTCATAAATCCAGAGCAAGCATGTAATTCAGGAAAATGACATATTTCTTTCTTTTTATACTTCCTGGTCAGTGACTCAGAAAGTAATGAAGTCATTGCATGAACACGATAGTTAAGCAAGTAGCATTTTCAGGGAGAAAGCTCAGGAATTGCAGCCTACATATTTCTCCTATGACAGGTTCCCTTTAATACACCCACAGTAGTAAAACTTCCTCCCTCTAGTGGACAGAAATAAAGTTGCACCAGTTCAAATATCTGCTGCTGATTGAAGGAACAAATGTTGCCAACTAGATATTATATTTGTCCTATTTTTATACAGGATTATCACACATAGCGTTCTAACCCTTTTGTATCACGTGATGGCAAACACACAGAAAATGTTCCTAATGGTGTCATACCTACAGCACACTGTCTCATCTGGTGTGCCCGTAAAGCTTTAACAGCCTTAGTAAATTCCCTCCACAGAATCCAGGCAGAGGACTAGAAGGGCTGGCTTTCTTTTCCATCTATCCACATGTTTCCATTTAATTGTCTGTCCACTGCTACAAACAGTGGACAATACATTTTAAAGGCTGCTGGCTCCTAGGGGGTGGGGCTATAAAATGATGTCATGCTGACTGAATTAAAAAAGCGAGGGAAAGGACAAGCTGGAGAAGGTTGAAAGGAGTTGGAAGGAGATAGGAAAAGTCTAGGAAATGGTGGCATCTGGTGGTTTGTACTTGGGCACATGTGAGGGTGTTGCACAGTGCAGGGGTAGGATGGAAAAGGTGGAATAAACTGTGGACCGGGACTCTGAGGACAACTGTAAGTATTACAGGCTCTGGCCTCTACGCTTCCTGGAGACTGCTGCTTCTTCCACTTCGTTCTCCGGTTCTGGAACCAGATCTTGACTTGAGTCTCTGTTAGGTGCAGAGTCAAAGCCAAGCTGAGCCGCTCACACACTGATAAATATCGGCTGCTTCGAAAGCGACTTTCAAGGGCCACAAGCTGCTCGTATGTAAAGGCGGTGCGGGCCCGCCGGGGCTTAGAACTGGCCGTGGGGACCTTTGTGCTCTGTTGATCCTCAATCTTCATTGACTCTTCTTCCATAGATTTGGGGTCCAAAGAAGGTCCTGCTTCATCCTCTGGTTCAGCCGCTACATCTGTGATCACATCTGGTAAAGGAGCAAAAGATCAACAATTAGGAAATCAGAAATAATGAAAGTCTTGGTTGGTGCTAACGGTGCAGACTATTGTCCAGACATCTATTTCCTCATTACTGAATAAGGAACATGATATATTAAGGGTACCTGTGCTATAGGGGTGAGCTCAGGCTTGGAATGAATCTGGTCTGAGCCTGAGCTCCTCCAAACAAGGAACTTCTATCTAGTGAGTCACCAGCTTGAAGCAATCATGTAGCCAGTGAAGCCTGAAAACTTGTTATGGGTCAGCAAATCACTAGTTGGTGAAGCCAGACTTAGAATGACAGTGCTACCTCTATAGAGCATTGGCATCTCCCATATTCTATACTCATAGGTAGGAATGAGCTCAAGTTCAGACCAAACCCGGTCCAAACATGAGGTCCTCTGAACCCGCAAGGACAGGAGTGGGCATCTCCAGCCCTCCAGCTGTTGTGGAACTACAACTGCAAGAATCACAGTTTCAGGCACGACTCCTAGAGGCATGTTGGGATTTGTAGCTTAGGCACAGCTGGAGGGCCGGAGTTGCCCACCCCTGCATAAGGAGGTTCTCCTGAAAACGGAAGGAAGCCTTTTCTGTGCCACCCAATCAGCTGCGGTCCAGGCATTCCCCTCCCTGAAACCACATGTAAACAAAGGGGTGGGATGCTTGTGCGGACATCATTTACTTTATATAGCCACATAGCCCTATTAGGTAAATATAATTTAGTCATATAAGGTCAGTGATGTCACTGCTTGCTGCAAGCTGTGGACGGGGAATTCCCCACCAGCAACTAATTGGATAGCACGGAAGGAGCTTCCTTCTGTTTTCACGGAGAAGCTCCTGATTGGTTCAGAGGTGCTCAGGTTCCCGCTTTGAGAATTGTTCACCTCTGACCTGGACAATTAAAGTGATTGTGACACTTCCATGACTCCCAATATCATCCATTCTCACCGAGTAACACACATCAGCCCAGATATACAATCATGCCAACAACTCCCCGGGTTCCATTGTCTGTATTTACACTAGCTGCTTTGTTCCCTTGTATAGCTGCATGAGAATATCATTACATGGGGGCGGCCATTTTTGCTCATTAGAAATGCAGGTTTAGAAGTAATGCATAATAGCCGTGCTTCTTACTTCCTCTCCTCACAGCTGAACTCCAGTCAGTTAAATATGCAGATGAAATATATACGGGAGCTGTTGTTACCTACCAAATGTTTTGTAACCCTGTCTCTCCAATCCTACGATTTATGCAGTTTTATTACTCACACAGCACAGCCCTGTCTGGCAGGACAGGAGACCTGGTTTCTCCCTTCTGCAGTTCAATAACAATTACAGGTCTTGCTCCTAAAAGGAGAAGCAGCAGGCTCATCTATCTGATCTGTCCTCCTATCAGCATGGCCCTTGTTAGCACACGAGCACTATTTCACAACTGACTGGCTCCTCGTTCTCCATCTCACTCTTCCAGTCTGAGCTCTACTGCACAAGGACTGTAAGAGGCTGGCACCAAGTCTAATTCAGATACTTATACTGCTTGTATTGAAAATAAAATATTTAAGGCCCATTCACACTTTGCCATTCCTGTGCATTGTATTAAGAGAGCCCCCTTATTTGGAATAAGTTGCCAACACGGCAGAATGGACAAAAACATGCACATGCAGCATTTTTTCTGACGCTGCACCACCGCGTCTAATCGCAGTGCGTTTTGGAAAAACTGCAACACGTGTACACCATGATTGTGTTGTGGTGCAAATTCTGCAATGTGCTAACACATGTAACGTGTGCTGCGGTAACGTGCGCATTACTGCAACATACCTCCACTGCAAAGTGCATATGGAACCTAATGATGTATTAATGCAGGGCAACCTTGGCACCCCAGCTGTGCTAAAACTACAAATCCCATCGAGCCTTTGCCTCTGAGAGTCCTGCCTGTGGCTGTCAGAGCCTTGCAATGCCTCATGGGACTTGTAGTTCTACGACAGCTGGAGGGCTGGAATCGCCCACCCCTGATCTATGCTCTGCTTTCTACAGTAGGAAATCAAATACATGGACTGATAGTAACTCTTTCATATAAGGTAACCCTTTTGTCTTAGGTTTAGTGGTTCTGTAAGCAAGCACAGGTCTCAGAATGTCCTGTCAATTGTTTTTCTGGGACTTGTAGTTCCTCAGTAGTTGTAAAGCCACTATAT